CTTCTCCTCCACTTGCAGCTGCTGGATGACTTTGGGTAAGCCATAGTTCTGTCAGAGCTGTTCTCCCAAGGGCAGTTGTCAAGAGAGCTCTCTCAGCCCCGCCTCCCTCACCGTGTGTCTGTTGTGGGGAGGGGAAGGGAAAGGAGTTTGTGAGCCGCTCTGAGACTCCCTTGGGTAGTGAAGGGCGGGGTATCAATCCAATCTCTTCTTCTTCTAACTCATGAACCCAGACTCCTTGCTATGAGCAGACGGCGCCCTGCCTCTCTGATCAGAGACTTTGGGCCCGGCCAGGAGAGCACGGGACCCCACCGAGGCACCTGTTTACACTGAAGTTGCAGGCTCCTTCCCTTAAATGGATGAGATCCTCTTTGGCCTGCCGGGGCCCAGACTCAGGGCCTTTCCCTTGCTGTCCCACCGCTTTGGAATCGTTTCCCAGAGCAAGCGAGAGGATTGCCAGCGCCGCTGGGTTGGGAAATACCTGGAGATTTGGGGGGGTGGAGACCGAAGAGGGCGGGGTTTGCAGAGGGGAGGGACCTCAGCGGGGTGTAACGGCACAGAGCCCACCCTCCAAAGCCGCCATTTTCTCCAGAGGAACTGATCTCTACTCTGTTGCATGGAGATTGGTTGTGGTTCTGGGAGATCTCCAGGCCCCATCCTGAAGGTTGGCAACCCCATGTCAGGAAGAGTCCTAGCTCATAGCAGTTCAGGAAATTCTGCAAAGCATTTCATTGTTGATGCCTGCAGCAGTGGAGTCGTTTGGTCATGCTGAGTTCTTGGGGACGTGATTCCTTCTATTTTATCGGCTGTGTGTTATCTTAGCATGCCTGGCTGGGTTTCACTTTTGGGATTAAGTCGCCTTGAGCCTGACTTTGCAGAAAAGTGGATTCTTGAGGTTTTTGACTGATTAGTTAGTTAGCATGCTTATGTCCTGCAATGTCCTCTTTAAAAGGTCTTGACCTTGCTTTATTTCAGGGACCCTCAACACGGTGCCCGCAAAGTCGCAAACACTTTTTCTGGTGCCCAGCAAGTGTTTTTAGAAAATGGGCTGGCCCAGGTGTGGTGTTTGCCCAGCAAGACTTCTGGCTGGCTGTGAAGATTTTTAAAAATGCTACTTTGGCAGCTGCTGCCACCACAGCATAAGGCTCTTCACTGTGTGACTGAAGGTAAGCTGTGGTGGCCATTTTGTGGCTGGCTCTGCCCTCCTGCGGCAGCCATTTTGTGGTTGCACCCACCACCCTGTATCAGAATTCCAAAGGTGGAAACGTGCTCAAAAAGGGTGGGGACCAGTGTTCCCTCTAAGCTGAATTAGTGTGAGCTAGCTCACAGTTTTTTAGCCTTCAGCTCTCACATTTTTGTCTTCGCCCAGGAAGGAGAGCTCCAGAGCAAACTA